TCCTTCCAGATTACATCTTAGCCCACTAAGAAGCCATCTCCATACTCAACAGTCCCTGTCCATCATTTCCTCTTCTGAAATGAGATTAAGCTCACTGAATTCATGCAACCATGTGTTTAATAGACAGTTAATATGTACTTAGTGACTTTCTAATACTTAAAAGAAGAGTGTTTGCCACTGTATGTTCTCACTCATAGGTGGGTGTTGAACAACGAGAACACATGGACTCAGGGAGAGGAGCATCACATACTGGTGGCAGTTGGGGTGGGTAGGGGAGAGACAGTGGGGGGTGGGGAGGGAGGGGAGGGTGAGGAGGGATAACAGGCAGAGAAATGCCAGATATAGTATGCACCTAAAGTAAAATAAATAAATTTTTTAAAAAAAAGAGTGTTTGTAAGAAACTTTAGGATTTAATCTTTTTTTTTTTTTTTTTTTGATACAGAATCTTACTCTGTCACCCAGGCTGGAGTACAGGCGCGGTATCTCGGCTCACTGTGACATCCGCCTCCCAGCTTCAACCATTCTCCTGCCTCAGGTTCCTGAGTAGCTGGAATTACAGGTGGCCACCACCACGCCCAGCTAATTTTTGTATTTTTAGTAGAGATGGCGTTTTACCATGATGGCCAGACTGGTCTCAAACTCCTGACCTCAAGTGATCCACCTGCCTCAGCTTCCCCAAAGTGCTGGGATTTCAGGCATAAGCCACCACACCTGGCCAGATTTAATCTTAATTGAATCTTTCTTACAAAATAAGTATCAAGGAGTAAATAGAAAGGTTTAGCATTTTGTCATAAAGATATTTAAATCTTGCAATTATTAAAGACATGACTATTAAGCTATTCATCTTCACATGATCAGAACCAGTGATTATATGACAGTTAATGCCAGCACTGTTGATTTTTCTAATAAACTATCATTTGGGAGATGGCTGCTTTCAGCAATTAAATTCCTATATGTAGTAGGTAGGAAACTGGGGGCTTTTTCCCTAGTAAGATACTGTGATAGTTGCTGCTGTCATGGAAAGAGGCTCTGTGCTTTGATCCACAGAACTGTGTTTGCTGCTGTCCCACAAGATTCATATTCTCTCTATCTCTCTCTCTCTCCTTCTCTCTCTCTCCCCGCTCTTCCTTTTCATTCCCACCTTTGGTTACTGTTATAATAGGATAATTGAACTTTGTAACTTGTAAAGAACTTAAAGGTGACCTATGCCACCTGATAAGGAATTCTAACCAAGAAAAGATTAGCTGATGCGCTTCAGATCATCCTTGTAGAAAATGAAAGAATTGGGGGTAAAACCCAAATTTCTCTGTTACCCAGAGAAATCAGGAGCTAGAAGTCTTAAGCCTGATACCACCTAGCTCTTGAGTTTCATTTCCCTTGCCCCTGAACTTCCTGTCTTCCACCAGGTTCCTCTGTCTTACCACTAAGGAATCTCCCTAGGTCACTGACACCAAACTGTCTTCCTTCCATTAACCAATTCCCCAATGTTGTCTCATCTCAATTGCATGATTTCTCTTTTCCTACTTGGCAATTTCACTGTTGATTCTGGTTTACTCTTACCCAATACCACACCTGCCAAAACCTCCTAGCACCTTTCTTTTAACCCTTTGTATAACTATTGCAGACAGTTACATACAAAACTGAAGCTTGTGACCATGACTGTCTTGCAAAGACTCCAGTTTCTCCACCTAGGCTTTCGGAATCTGTGTCTATACCATGCTGTATGCTGTATTATAATACAATGAGAAAAGAAAGTTTTCTCTTTAAGTGGGCAGGTAATTTCTTAAGATATATAGCCAAGCAAATGATTATGCCTAAAGTTAAGCAGGGACAGAAGCACAGTTCGTTGACACTATCTGTAAGTACCAAAGTTCATTCTTTATCAAAAACATCAATATCTTCTCCAGCTCGACTGGAAATGCTGATTAATGTGAACCCTCTCTTTCTTGTTCTTGTCCATTTCCTTGTTAAAGTGTCAATGGTGTCAAAGCAGAAGACAGGACAAAAAGATGGGCAGTAAAAAGTCCAATAAATCAGAGTGTGGTGGTAAACATGTGAACCCTGGAGGCCAGCTGCACAGTGAGTCTTGGTTAACAGCTGAGTGACTGGATACATGGCTTAAACTCTCAGTTTCTTCATCTGGTAAATGGGCATAATAGCAGCACGGACCTCGCAGGGTTTCCATGAGAATTAAGTAAGTTAATGTTTGTGAAAACACTTAGGACAATGCTTGGCACATATTAAGCATCATATAAATATTTGTTAAATAAATCCTCAGTTTGAAATTATTTTAACAATCACACTCTGTGTCTGCTGACCTCCAAATCTTACTAGCAGGATCTAGAGGCATTGTGAGGGTTTCTATACCACATCACACACTCTCACTATATATCCTCCACTATGAACTGCTGCCTGATAATTCATTTTATAATTCCTTCTCATCAGGAATGGACAGAAGTGTGCTCCTGAACCTCTCTCAGCAACAGTCCCCATTGCTGCAGCCACACACAGTGAGAAATGGCCTCTCTGCCTTAGAAGACAAGGTCTGTGAAACCACAAAAGTCCTTGTTTGCCCACACATTACAAATTCTACCTGTAGCCCATAATTAGCACTGGGGAGGTGGGGCAATAGGCCACCTACCTCGGAAAATAATAGAAAGGGAAAATTCTATCAAACCACATATCTTCTTACAGAGCTCATAGCCTTTCTCTCCTCCCTTTCTTATTTTTTTGTTTTTGTTTTTCAGGCTCTTTCTCTGTCATCCAGGTTGGAGTGCAGTGGTGCGATCATAGCTCACTCAACCTCAACCTCCCGGGTTCAAGCGATTCTCCCACCTCAGTCACCCAAGCAGCTGGGACTACAGGTATGCACCACCACAGCCAGCTAATTTTAGCATTTTTTGTAGAGATGGGATTTCATCATGTTGCCCAGGCTCTCCCTTTCTTTCTTAATTTTACTCCAGTTAGGCTCTTAGCTACACCAAATTTCACCATCTCAAGATCAGCACAAGTCCACCACTTTGCTAAGGCCAGCAACACCTGGTTTCATGCCACCTCTCAGGGGTACCAACACTGCTAATGCTTCCTCTCCTCGACTGCCTTCTTCTCTTGCTTCTAGTTCCCCAGAGTCTCCTGGGTTTTCCATTCCTTCTAGGGCTCCTCTGCTGGCTGCCCCTTGCCTCCTGACCTCCTTACATTGCAGTGCCTGCCCTGATGCTCCTTCCTTGGTCCTCTTCTCCTTCATATCCACATTCATGTTCATGGTGAGTTCATACAGTCCTGTGATTTAAAATACCATTTCTCCCTCCAGGACTATCAAATGTACATCTCCAGCCCAGACCTAAATCTTGAATTCCTGATTCATACATCCAGCTGCCCACTCAATAGGATTGGCATGCCCCCCTTAGGTGTCTTAATAGGATCCTAAATTTATCTTGTCCAAAACCAAACTCCTGATCTTCCCCTCAAACCTCTTCCTCTTTAGTCTTCCCCATCTTGGTTAATGACATTCCCGACTTTCATCTCCACCTCTTATCTTCCCTTCTACCTATCCATCAGTAAATCCTTTTAAAAATATCCAGAATCTGGCCAGGGGCAGTGGCTCACACCTATAATCCTAGTATTGTGGGAGGCCAAGGCAGGCAGATGGCTTGAGCTCAGGAGTTCAAGACCAGCCTGGGCAACATGGTGAAATCCTGTTTCTACAAAAATTAGCCAGGCCTGGTGGCATGGGCCTATAGTCCCAGATACTTGGGAGGCTGAGGTAGAAGGATTGTTTGGGCCCAGGAGGCGGAGGTTGCAGTGAGCTGAGATCGTGCCACTGCACTATATACTGGATGATAGAGCCAGGCCCAGTCTCAAAAAAAAAAAGAAATCCAGAATTTGACCATCCCCTTCAACTACCTTCTGGCCATGGTGATCTCTCCCAAGTACTGAAACACTCTACTAATCCATTTATGCCAGAGCTTGCAAATTTTTTTGTGAAAAATCAAAACTTGGTGATGACCTTGAGCAGTAGGATACAAACAACCCCCACAAGCTTAGTGTTCCAATAGTGGAATACTAGGCATAAGTAGGTTAAACAATTTTCCTGTTTTTGCAGTTTCTTAAAACAGCAGCCAGGAAGATACCATTAAAATATAAGTCAGACCATGTCCCTTGTTTAAAACCTTCCCATTACTTCTCATCTCACTTAGAGAACAGCCTGGTCAACATGGAGAGACCCTGTCTCTACTAAAAATACAAAAATTGGCCAGTGTGGTGGCACGTGCCTGTAAGCCCTGCTACTCAGGAGGCTGGGGCAGGAGAACTGCTTGAACCTGGGAGGTGGAGGTTGCAGTGAGCTGAGATCATGCCACCGTACTCCAGCCTGGGAGACAGAGTGAGACTTAGCCTCAAAAAAAAAAAGGAAAAGAAAAGAAAAGAAAAAAGCTGAAGTCCTTATAACCACATGACCCTACCATTATCTGAGCAGCCCACCCCCTACCTCATCAGCTCCCTGACCTCATCTTCCCCTATTCCCCCTGCTCACTCCATGCAGCCACAGTGGCATCCGTGCTGGTCAGGGCTCCTGTGCTTACCACTTCTCCTACCTGGAACACCCTTCCCCAGACACCAGTATGGTTCGCTCCCTGACTGCCTTCACAACTCTGCCCAAAAATCATGTTCCAGGCATCCCTCACAACACTTTTTAAAGGGCTAACAATACCTGCTTTGCTTAGCACTCCTCAGCTCCCTTCCCTGCTTTATTTTTCCTTCCTTACCTTATTCATTTTTCCATAGGAGACTCATCTTATTTTACTTATTTTGTTTATCCCCATTAGAATACTTATTTTGTCTTTCCTTATTAGAGTGTAAGTTCCAGATGGGTCACGATTTATGTTTCCTCTTGTTCACTGCTGCATTCTTACTGCCTAGTAAGTGCGTGGTACATCGCAGATGCTCAGTAAAGATTTGCTGAATGAACAGGAATGATGGCTTGCTTGGTTCCTCTTACCTACCTAAGACAGTCATCACTGTCTTCATTAGCTTCATGGGTGTCCTCCGGCGGCTGATGGACCCACTTGTATGCGGAGACAAGACGTTGGTTTTCCTCTTGACGTACATGTAGATCCGTAGATACACCACAACCATGATGAAGAAGGCCATGAGGTTGGACACCGTCCAGAAAACAAGATAACTCCTGCTGTAAATGGGGGCCAGGGAAGAGCAGGCAGAGATGTTGCAGAGGCAATTCCAGCCCAGTGTGGGGACTGCCCCCATAAAAATGGCAATGGCCCAGACAAGCAATATGAGCAGCGTCACCCTCTTTTTGGTCAGGTTGCTGTGGACCCGCATCCTCATGATTGACATGTGCCTCTCCACGGCAATAACCAGTAAGTTGGTCAGGGAGGCAGTCAAGCTAGTATCCAGAAGCCCCTGGCGGAGAAACCAGCGGTTGACAGTCAAAGTTTTTGAAACTGGGCCTGTGTTAAACATCAGGAATACATAGGCAATTCCAGCGAAGAAATCTGCAGCAGCTAAGTTAGCCAACAGGTAGTAGAAGGGGAAATGAAACTTTCTGTTTTTGATCACTGCTGCAATGACCAGAGAATTAGAAAAAAAAATAAACAGGCAGAAAAATGTCCCAACACACAAAACAATCACAAGCTTCGTTCCTGTCCACTCATCGACAGTATCAGTGTTGCTCCTATTATAAAAAAAGTCCATGTGCTTATCATAGTGACACTCATTCATTGTGGAGAAGAAGTGAACATCCTAGAAAGAAATTTAAAGAAGAAACAAATATCATTTGTAAAATGAGTCACTAAATCATCATTGCTATTTCTAAGCCCCTTCTGGCAACTCCCATCAATCACTTAAGGTCTCAGTGCAAATGTCCCTTGCTCCAGGACCCAGCCTCTGACCTCCTACCACAGCATTTAGCTCACATTTTCATTGTTTCCCATGCTGGGCTGCTCAGGTTAGGAGGGTGCATCTCTATTTTGTTCACCATTAAAACCAGTAATTGTTGACTGGCTGGCTGGCTGGCTGAATGAATGAATGCTCATGGAGGCTTCAACAGGGCAAATGTGCTGAGCCCTGCAATATCCACTCTGCACTGGTAACAGTTACAACACATTATGTCAATGCTTCCTCCTGGCTCCCAGTTTATTTCTTGTTTATGGATATGTTCATTGATCAAGGGGAGGTTGGTAATTCCAGGTACATTCTTTCCAAGGCAATGGGAGTTGAATTACCATTCACATAACCAAATGGATTCTCCAAGAGACCAATCGTCCACGACTTCTGATTTCACTCCTGATCCTCCTTAAGAGACAACTCTGATATTCATCTATTAAGCATATGATGCAGGGATGGAGACTTTGGTTCCAATATCCCCTTCCTTTACCTTCTGTTCACTTCTTCCGTATAGTCTCCTAACCCAAACTGTACCAATGTGAACTTGCTCAACACGGCAGCTGGTGGAGGATCGGGCCTCCATAGGCAAGACTGAGATTTGGAATTGGGGCAGATCTCCAACTCAATGTAAGAACATACCTACTAAGTGAGGGCATGTCCTTGGGACACTTTTCTGAAAGAAGACCCCAAACTGGGATATCAGGTAGACAGGGAAGACACTAATCCTCTCAGTAAAAGATCTCTTGAATCCCAAAAGTGGGGGATCCTGGCCAAGGAGGGGCTGGGCAGAGGCCCCACAGATGCCCATCTGTCTACATGTGGTGGGGAAAACCAAGTATTCTGCCTCACAGTGACATGGTCACAGTCATGAAGGGTCCTATGGAAGAAGATTGGGTTTAAGGCCAGGATTCTAGCTTCTGGGAAGAATGACCATCTGCTCCCTCACTGAGAATGAGGCTGCAACTTATTCTCTGGAGAAGCAGAGCTTCAGTCAGCCCAGAGACTGAGCAGCCCTCTAGGGGTGAACGAAGTGGCTGTGACAGTAAAAGCTAAGTAGAAGTCCCCAGGTTTTAAAGTTCCCAGAAATTCTAAAATCTAATCCCACAACCAGAATCAAGGAGACCAGATAATAATATTAAGTTGTACAAAATAGAAATACATCCCAGTCTTCTTTTTAATTTATATCTTAATGGTATAATAATACTTTTACATGAATTAGATACTGCTTTTCTGCCACAGCAAATGGGAGGTAAATATCATTTTATAAGCTTAAAAAACAAAACTGGGAGTAGTCTCAAATGGTTCCAGGGTCTTTCAATTACAAGAAAGACAAACGGTTTTCAATTACAAGAAAAGACAATGACAGTAGACAATGGTTCCAGTATCTTTCAATTACAAGAAAGGAAGACTCGATTTTCATAATGACAACATAAAAATTACTCTCTTTGGCAGACAGTCACCAATATTTAACTGTAAATATCAAATAAATTCATAAAATATCATAATTTATACTATATCATAATTTTACCAAATTAAAAATACAGAAAGTATAATTTTAATAGCTTCACAGTATTCTACTATAGGAATAGACCACACCTTACTTAACTAATCCTAAATACTGGACATTAGGGTTGTGTCCTATATTTCACTTTTATAAGCAAGGCTGCATTCTTGTGCATTAATCTCTATATACCTGGCCAATTATTTCTTTAGGAATAACCCGTAGATTTCAAATTGAAGTAAAGGATATAAATCTATTTAAGGGTTTCTGATACATCTTGTCAAACTGCACTTAAGAGATATCTTTTTGTTGTCGTTGTTGTTTGTTTGTTTTTTAAGATGGAGTCTTGTTCTGTTGCTCACCCAGGCTGGAGTGCAGTGGTGCAACCTCTGCCTCCTGGATTCAAGCGATTCTCCTGCCTCAGCCTCCCGAGTAGCTGGAACTACTGGTATGTGCCACCACACCCGACTAATTTTTGTGTTTCTGGTAGAGATGAGGTTTCACCATGTTGGCCAGGCTGGTCTCAAACTCCTGATGTCAGGTGATCTGCCCATCTCAGCTTCCCAGAGTGCTAAGATAACAGGTGTGAGCCACTGCACCTGGCCTGAGAGATCATATTTTTAACTCTACCAGCAGCATATGAGAGTTAAATATAAAGTTACTAATCTAGTGAAATTCAATTTAAATATTTAAAGAGAAATACAGCTTTCACCATGTTGAAAGAGGCCTGAGAGAACTTGTGAGACTCTTTTTGCAACACTACCATTCAAGGACACAGCATTTGCGCCCCTTCTGGAAGCAGAGACCAGGCCTTCACCAGACACCAAATCTGCTGATGCTTTGATCTTGCATCTCCCAGCTTCCAGAAAAGTGAGCAATAAATTTCTGTTTATTTATTAATTATCTAAAGTACTTTTGTTATTACAACAGGAACAGACTAAGACACTACATGGGAAATTTTAATAATACAATTATTATGTGTCTTTTCTAATCAAAAATAATGTATGTATTTTACTGTTACATGCTCTATATATCTAAAAGAAACACATTTCTAATTTTAAAATTCAGATTATCCTTGACTAATTTATTAAAAATATAAAGATGAACATGTCACAAAGACACTGGAATTAAGACACTACAATAATACTGCTCAAATTTTCCTAATTTTATTTTCAAGGGATCTTAAAATTTTAGTTTTATTTCTTCTGTTTGGTCAAATTTTTAATTATATCAAGCACTAAAACCTCAATGATTTTTACTTCAAAAATTTCCCAATTCAACTGTCTCTTGTCAAAACCAAAACGGTTTAAGACGTGTTTTGAGCAAAAATTGCCCTGAGACTGAGAAGCAATTTTGTCTTACAAAGTTATCACAGAAAAACTATGATTATCCAGAAGTCCCACTAAGCAGTGCTGTACCTTGGCTCCAGATCCTACTTTTGGGAGAAACAGGGAATGAGAGCAAAAAACTTCATATAGGAAATTGGTGAAAAAGATTCCACAGAATGGAATTCTATGCAGTCCATAAAATACATACTCATTATGAAGCTGCAATAATATAAGAAAAGGCCCATGTCATTACTTTAATATACAATACACATACAAAAATTTGTGTGTGTTAACTATATTAAATGACATATGCGTCATTACTTTAATATATAATACACATATAAAAATTTATGTGTGTGTTAACTATTTTAAATGATATAGAAAAAGATAATGAAAAAAATCTCGAAACGTGAATAGTTAAGAATGGTGGAACTGTGAGTCATTTTTTAAAAATTCTTTCCGCCGGGCGCGGTGGCTCACGCCTGTAATCCCAGCACTTTGGGAGGCCGAGGCGGGTGGATCACGAGGTCAAGAGATCTAGACCATTCTGGTCAACACGGTGAAACCCCGTCTCTACTAAAAATACAAAAAATTAGCTGGGCATGGTGGCGTGTGCCTGTAATCCCAGCTACTCAGGAGGCTGAGGCAGGAGAATTGCCTGAACCCAGGAGGCGGAGGTTGCGGTGAGCCGAGATCGCGCCATTGCACTCCAGCCTGGGTAACATGAGCGAAACTCCGTCTCAAAAAAAAAAACAAAAAAAAACAAACTAAAAATTCTTTCCAATTTTTTTTTTCATCTACTACATTTTCTGTAATAAGTAAATGAAGACTTTTAATCAGGAGCATATATTCTACTTAATGTATTCTATCTTTCTTCTACAATTATGGCTTTGAAAAATCAAAACTAATGTTTAAAGGAAATGCTTCAAAGATTTGCATACGGTCAGTCTATTCTTACCAGCACAGCATACTTTAGGGTTTTTAGGTGACAACAAAAATAAAATAGTTTTCTACTTAATCTTCACATAAACCAAAACTTGGCTTGCTAAACCCTGACCACACCAGGGCATAGCTTTCACCAATTCTCCTATAAAACATTTCCTAATGCTATCACCACAGATCTCCCCAGTACATAACATACTATCTACAGATCACCATATTGTCTTAGCTAGAAATTACCAAAACCTTTTAGCAAGCTTATAACAAATGACTGATTCATTATCTCCTGGCCTCTCTTAACCATTAAAACATGATTCTGTAATTTTCAACAAATTAATAAGTTACTTCAGTCCTAGCCTAAATGTCCCCTCCACAAAGATACCTTGTCTGACCAATTCAAGATAGCTCCGCAGCTCTCATTCTCAGAAAGTCCTGGTTTACCTCCATCAGAGCTACCCAGTTGCCTGTGACCCAATATTTTCTTTTGTGTTTAAGCATGTATTGTTCATCTCCCACCCCTAGACAATTCTACTCCAGCAGAGCAGGGAACTTGCTTATTATGCTCACCTCTGGAGCATCAGTATGTGTTGAATGAATGAATGAATCTCTGCCCTATGCTATCTTTTTCCATATCTAAAATGAAAAGTTTCTGTGAAGTGCCTTTGTGGACTTACACATCAATCACTAAACATGACAATTAGTGAGCTCTGTCACCTATTAACTAAGTGTTCTCAGGTATACTACTTAATATCTCTACATTATTATTACTATTTTTCATTATTAATATTTGAGTGCTTATTCTGTGCCAGGTGCTGAATTAAGCATTTTACATAAATTATCTCATGGAATCCTCCCAACAATGATGTAGTTACTACACTCATTTTACAGTTGAGAAAACTGAAGCACCCTTGTCTAAAGTCCCACAGCTAGAGATTCTATTCAGGCAGCCTCGTTGTACAGCCTGCATTCTTATCTGCAACACTGCTTTCTCTCCACAGGCATGTGAAATGCCAGACAGAACCAAGAACTATATTTATACATACAATAGTTACAGAGTTACCAAAATAGAATGATCTGATCAAATCACG